AACACGCATGCGTGTGTCTCCCGCAAACAGCAGGCGTAGCCAAACGTGGCTCGAACGTTGTCAAATACCTAATCTGCTCCAGCATCCAGGGGGAGCGGGGCATCATGTGGAGCTTTTGTTGTTGTCGTCATGTTTGTGCTCCATTTTCATGGGCAGCTGAAAGACAGTGACGGCGTCCCCAAAGCACACAGCTCAACAAAACGTCCAGATGCAGCTTATTACCATTCACTACTCAGCGGCCGGGAATCCACATTGTGACAGAACTGTCGGTACAACGTGCACAAATGTTACAGACAGGGAGGACAAAAGGAAGAATAACGCAAAAAGCAAGTTTCCTGGATACAATGTTTGTTGCACTTTCTCTTGATGTAATTGATATCAATTGAAATGCCTTTACTTTACTGTTTGATTGGACAAAACCAGATAGTTTCCAATTGTTTTAAGATTCAATTGTGATGGTTATTATAATGATTTTAATGTTGCAAATCGATAGATCTGCTTTATGGAAATATCTATCAATGTAATGAAGTGCCTCGATTGACAAGAATGTAATACCGTGGATTAGCCAGGACCTCCCCACATTGTTATGTTGAGGGGTTTAAACAACTGTCCAATTGAATTGCAAGGAAACAGCTTCAACTAGCCGTGGCGCTACTGATTATCCAAGAGTTAAATGTCAGGGATGAACACTGTTCCTCCAACAGATACTTGTGTCACACTAAAAGGTTAGATGACAATGAAAGCCACAGCATGATTCGTATTTATAATTAGACCCTAAAGGGACTTCTTGTGTCCCATATAATATCATGTTTTGGATTATTTGTTCTGTTTTATATACAGTATGAATAGGGAACTATTATCGTATTAATTCATATTTTGCTTAAAGAGAGGCTGAGTTGATTCATTTTTTTAAACAGTTGGAGTAATCAAAGAATCGACTAATTGTTTTAGCTCTCCTGAGAATATTTAGCGTTGCAAACTAACAGTGACATAAGCAACCGTTAGGTATGAGCAGTATTTGTGCCATTTACTCGTGCACTTTGTAACCAAACTCATTTTGCAAAAAGACTTGACGGAATGGAATTTGAGGAACGCTTTAAATACTGAATCTCCCTTTAAACCTCTCATACCGGCAAATACTTGGTTCACTTCCTCAGAGGCAATGTGTTTTTTTGACTGGTAATGCCGATGACTTAGCCAAACATAGGCGGAGATATTTATAGGCTTTGATTGTTATATAATAATAATCTTCTTGTGTCTAATTCTAGCTTCTTCCAACTTTTCTTATCGCGAACAACTTCTCACCTCTCAGTCACTGACTCGCTCACTCCTTCATTGTCTCAACACATGTGATTCACAGCTGGAGGCAACAAGTTCCGACTCTGCTCGTACATTCCAGATGAGTTTAAAATCATTCAGAAAAATAAATAGAATAGGAAGAATTTTTGGGATATCATCTTTTCTTTTCTTTTCTTGCTGTACGTTACCTAAGCATACTGGTACCACTCTTTTCTGTATAATAATACAAATGTACACATTTCTAACACATCTTGCGTCCATTATGACCTCTTCAATGGTAACACGTGTACCAGTTGTAATACTTTAATTGTATTTATAATGGCTCTTATAGCAAGTTGTAAATTGGCTTTTTTGAGGAAATTGGACATTCTTGTTTCCTGTTCTTCTGGGTTTGTATCCTTATGGTCTAAATACACTTATTGAAAGTCGCTTTGGATAAAAGCGTCAGCTAAATGACATGTAATGTAATGCTTTTGGAGGCTTGTCAAATGGGCAGAACATTATATAAGATCAAAATTCTAAATGACCCACATGTACTCTTCAAGGCAATTTAGGCATTCTGCTTTTGGACATTGCTCTGGTTTGGGGTTGAGTCATCGCCACAGCTCGGTTCTAAGCTTTCACAGGGTTTCGATGTATCAGCTTGTTCAGAGGGGCTCCGCTTATACCTGCAGTCCTTCTGATGTCAGATCCGAGAGGATTATGCGGGTATCAGTCAGAGCGCTGAAGGAGGATGAGAGCTGAGATCCAGCGTGGTGAAGTTGCCTTGAGCAAGATGACACGTTTGAGGTGCACCGTCCTTTCGCTTAGCCAGCATTCTGACACGAGAGACGGCAGACGGAAAAGCTCACTTGTTTACAAATGATTGCAGCATTTTGTGTGGTTGGTAAATTGCACCTTCAGCAGCACTTAAAACGATTTAGCTTAAGTCTTATCACTCGTAGTTATTTTCCACTTCTCAAGGAGGAGGATATGCTGCGTTTCTCTGTTTTATTCATTGTTTCACATGTATTATTCGGGAGAGAGGGGGACAGGGGGGAGGGGTGATGAAAAAATATCCACTCTTCAACTGACTCTGACTCTAGGAAATTGTGATGTGCATTTCTACTCGAGAGATTTTTTGTTCTGAATAACTGATATTTCAATTTCGTTCTCTCCAGTGCTTCTCTTTCTGTGCAGCCACAGTGAACACACAGCTTGGACACTCATCCTCTCCACACCATCAACTTGGTCGACACTCTGCTATGACTAAGAAGAAGTTTGAGTGAAAGGGGCATTTTATTAGAAATAGAAATGAAAGGGCCCTTGTCTGAACGAACTGACTAAACGAGTACTGGCGCTCCTGCCACCCGACTTATTTTCCACAATAACTGCGAAATGTGAATCAGACTATTCAGTTTCCACCACACAAACTCACAGAATAACTAAAATATTGGAACAATGAGAGAAAACATTATCAGAGTCAAGCCTGAACACGTTGAAATGTAATTCCACACACTTAATAAGAAGTAGGATTGGATTGTTGCACAGTTTTGTCCTGCTGTATATTTACTGCACCTCTTTGCAAGAGAAAACATAGCTGGGATTCTGTGTGATGAGCAACTGTGACTGCTGTCTCTATTGACTTGTCTCGCCAGTGTTGAGTAAGTGGATGAATACAGTGTCAGCCTCTGCAGCTGCAAGGGCCACTGTGTTGGGGGAGAAGGCACTCTTTGCCCAAAGTAATCCTTTGGCAAAGAGTTGGCGCGCCAACTGCTTGTGCAGTAATGATGCACATGGAGATGGGATGGGCAGCGCTGTGTGCTTTGGGTCGCCAGACACTTACATTGTCCCTGCGGTGTATCGACAACCGTATTCACATTTTTCACAGTAATGCGCAGCGTATTGCAGGGAAAGAGGCCGATATTCAGGAGCAATGGCTGATCTGCCGAGCCGCTGTGTTGTTTATTCAAGGTGTGGCAAAGACCCAGTGTGACATTATCACATTCGCCTATGTGTGAATTAAATCATCCATAGGAGGGTTGTATTCAGCAAGGGTCCATTAAAATGCGCTATGAGCAGTTGATGGTTGCGGACAGGTGGGATTTTAGGGATGTGTGAAACACAGGCCTCATTAGAGAACAGTTGGAAGGTGTGTGATGCCGTTTTTTCACTGAATCATTCTCTCAAGCATTCTTCATGCGCGTAAAACTCACCATGCGTGGGAGTAAAGGCGATGACTCTTTCGAAAGCCCACACAATCTGACCATAAATAGCTTCACTTATACAAAAACAATTCCAACCGTGTACTTGCACCAAAGGTGTGTTAAGGAACGAGAAGAATTTACATCAAACAGAAGGGACACATGCTGTCAATTTGCAGGAGTTCATCAGAGAAGTGCAGGACGCGGCTGCCTATTATTTATGCAGGGAGATGACAAACCGACCACAGAGAGAGAAACGCACGCTCCATGTAGAAAAGCACACCTGCAGGACGCATGAATTGGTGAATCAATAGCTTGTGTGTGCATGCATGGCTGTGCAGAATTGTAGGTATTTCCAACCATTGCCTTCATCACGTGGAGAGCCGGCCATTGATCACAACAGTGCTCATTTCAGTATGGAAAAGTGAAGGGGGTGGGGTGACAGAGCTGTCAATATGCAGGCTCAGAGCTATGGGCTTGTAAAAAATCAAAAAATCAAATCAAATAAATTGAAGACACCTAACGCCAAAACCCATGTGTCCGCGGAATAACGAGGCTTCAATGGAGGCTTAGATAAGACTACGAATGCACCCAGCCTGGCATCATGGGAAACACATGCATGCGGATTTTTGGAGGAATACACGCGCTTTTTAGGAAGGTTGCCATCATGCAAAAGGCAACAAACGGGACATGTTGCACGCGTTGATATCATATTGAACGACCCGCACGCTGAATCGGCTACAGGCGTCTTTGCAACGCGCAAATCTGGAGAGGCATGCAGCCGTTCATAGACGCTGATCTGGCACATTCATTTCCTATTTGCAGCTCCGTGATTCGGTGCTACAGCCCGTATTTTATGTCCAAGTTTGGCAACACATGCGCTTATTATCCCTCGGTGTCGCGATGCCCCACCGGGCGAGCAACGACGCCTTTTAGAAACCGCTGCATTGACCAAAGGATCGAAAAATACAATAGAAAACCGGCATATGGAGCAAATAAATACCCAGACAATGACGTGTATCCTACCTGTGCAATGAGCCAAATCGATGCCCGGTTCGGTGAGTATGTTCGGGTCACTTTGAGATCTGCCTCGTTGCAGACAGCCGTCTAGTCCATCCGATGTAGCCATTGGGGAGACAGCGCAGGAATCCGGGATAAAATATTAAAAGCCCAACCAGAGGCGGGCAAGGTCAGGAGGAAAGCAGCGAGCGAGGGTTAATTCGCTCTGACAACAGCCGCTTTGAGCATCTACCGGGGAGCCATGGCTGAGCCCAAATTCAGAGCGCACGCGCGTGTGTGTGTGTGCGCGCGTGCGTGTGTCTGGGCTGTGTGCGCGAGGATGTGTATGGATGAGGGAGGGGGGGAAATGCCCCCGATGATGCCCGTCCCCGTCTAGCAACACGATAAAATACCCCCCCCCCCAAAAAAAAACCCCATCTAGTAGCACGCTGCACACATCGGGGCATTGTTGGAGCTTGTGATTCATATGTACAGTATGTATTTGATGAGCAGATCTTCCTCTTCCCCCCCCACCCCCTCCCATCTGTAACCCCAAATACCCCGCACCGTTTACCGGGGTTTTTAGTGTATGCTTTCGGTTAAAGCAGAGGAGATCATTTAAAGGCCACAATCCAGAATGTCATTGGATAGTTAGAATGCACCAGTGAACATGTGACACAGGTCAACTGAACTGATGATGTATATGTTCTGTGCACTAATACACGTATATATGGGGGTATGAATTATGTGTTCTCATTTCCGAGTGGTCTATTAAAATGGTCCTGGAAAGCAAGTCAAATCTGTTTATTATTATGGCATAAAAATAAACGACCTTTATCACAAGACATCAAGCAAGTATCCCTGCTTAGTGTAATTTCCTGGAATTAACCAGATAAATATCATATATAAGGATTTTCTCGTAAAATGTAATTCAACGCGATGTCTTTTACTTAAAACAAAGACGGTTCGCAGCCACAGGAACACATGGGGACGCCGCTCATTGGCCGGATCCACCGATGACGAAATAACGCGGAAGTGAATCTCCAGACGAAGGAAGATGGCAGCCCACAGGTGCAGCCGCTCGGCTCTGCTGCTTGTTCTCTGTAGTTTGTGTCTGTTTAGCATCGCGGAAAGTCAAGAAACGACACCAGCGGGTGATCATCGTGCCACTGGGGTCGATAATCCACAAAGCGTCACCGGATCAACGGAGCAAATGGCCGAGCAGCCCACGGTGGTGGAGGAGGAGGAGGAAGAGGAGGAGGACAGGCGGTGGGAAGCGACTCGGGATGAGGTGGAAACCGAAAACACATCTGCCCCCGACACATCTGCCCCAACATTCGAGGTCCACTCCTCGGTACCGAAACCTAAAGACGATTTCCAGGAGGAACTGGTCATCAGACCGCTTCACTCCGGAGATATTTATGCCAGCTTCCAGTTCCGCACCCTGTGGGAGACGGACTTCACGACAGGAAACAAAGGTGAGCAAACGTCTGCTGACAGCTCGATCCACACATTTCTCTATACGATCGATACGATTTTTAGGTTACACATTTGACCATACTTCCTCCTCCTTGTTGACATTAAAATGTCTTAAAATTCTACATGGCTCGTCACAAAAGGAAATCTCTCGTTTTCCCGTTTTTGTCTGACGTGTGATGGTCAAGTTCTACACTTGGCGAAATGAACTTAACGAGAAGGAGGTGGTTTTCAAACCTGCTCACCCCAATCTTGTGTTGCCTCGCAGTGTCCCACTACCGGCTGTTCCCCAAGTCGCTGGGTCAGGTCATCTCCAAGTTCTCCGTGCGAGAGCTGCACATCTCCTTCACGCAGGGCTACTGGAGGACCATGCAGTGGGGGCAGCCCTTCCTCCCGTCCCCGCCGGGCGCTGAACTCTGGGTCTGGTTCCAGGACTCGGTGACGGAGTAAGTACGGCTCTCTGGTGGCCGTAGAGCACCAGAATGGAAACAAATATTCCGATTTTTGTGGATTTATAAAAAGGAAAAACCCTTTCTGCTTCATTTCCTGCCTTTTTCTCTTTTTCTTTTTAGTGTCGACGAGACGTGGAAGGAGCTGACGAATGTTTTGTCCGGGATCTTCTGCGCTTCCCTTAACTTCATTGACTCCACCAACACTGTTCAGCCCAGTGCGTCTTTCAAACCGCTGGGAATAGGAAACGGTACAATTAGCCTTCTGTTATCTCCAGTAAAGCTTTCTGCTATTAACCTTAAATTTCAAGGTGAAATTGTATGTCAACATTAATGTTAATTATGACACCACATACAAATTTGAACATGCCATAGATCACATTCTATCAATTCAGCAAGGCAACCTTTGGGGGGGAAAAAAACAACTTTTCCCCCCTCAAAATTAAGACCTTGTAAATACATATGAGAAAAAACGCTGCCATTGTTGTGAAAACATCCACATCTAATTGGAAATCATTTGCCCAACCAACGATCATTCAATTTTATATATAGAAATTGTTATATAAACCGTTCAGTGTATCAACTAATCGACTGATTTTGTTTATCGTGTTGATCGTGAAGTGACAGACCATCGCTTTCTTCGCTATGCAACCCTCCCACGAGAGATTGTTTGCACTGAGAATTTAACACCCTGGAAGAAACTCTTGCCATGTGGATCCAAGGTGAGTGTGTGTGTGTGTGTGTGTGTGTGTGTGTGTGTGTGTGTGAGAGCGTCTCTTTATTTCTGTCTTTCTTAAGAAAACACAGATGTCAATCAAGATGATATTTACAAACTTGCATTGAGTTCCTCCTTCTGTTTCTTTATGTGTCCATGTTGCAGGCTGGTCTTGCCGTGCTGTTGAAGTCGGAGAAACTCTTCCACAGCAGTTTTCATTCCCAGGCCGTGCACATCCGGCCTGTGTGTAAGGACTGGCAGTGCAAAACAAAGTCTTGGGAGCTGAGACAGACGCTGAATGTGGTTTTCGACCTGCACACCCCTGGACAGGGCAAACAAGGTGAGCAAAAGCTCTCCAGAGGCATGTTTGGTAAAGTAGAAAACGGTTAACTTCAGCCCTTCTGTCCCCTCAGAGTGGTCTCTTTTTAAGATGTTCTCTCGGACCCTGACGGAAGCCTGTCCATTGGCCTCATCCAGTAAAATCTACGTGGACATCACAGACGACCCTCAGGTTTGACTCCCAGCCTCTGCTCTATATGTTATTTTGAGTTATTTCCCTCAATGCAAACTTCAAAGAAAACAAAAGGATTCGTTTTACTGACCTGTCAAAGACGTATGAAGGAAGAGATATTTAATGGTTCCCTTTTAAAGCTTTCTTTTGTTACCTTAAGTTGGGCCATTGAGCTGTTTATTTAAGAGCTTGCAAAGACACGATGCAACGCGCCGACTAATGCGGTGAGGAAGAGCACACCTAGCAAGCAAAAAAGGCTGTAAACGATGCAACATTTAGAATCCTCAAAGATTCCCGATTGACTTTGCAGATGTTTAATGAGGTGGGAAACGCTTTCGAACGATCTGTTAGAGATACAGGACATGTATGGAGAAGTGCGGCGCAAGATACGTTTGATGTCATTCCTCAGGGTGAGCAGTTTGAGGTTAGCCCAGCCACGCACTTGCTGAGCCAGGCAATGGTGCTGGGGGACAGACGGACCTTCTCGCTCTACGACCTGACCCAACAAATCACCTTTGGCACCGTGCGCTCCCTTAACCTGCATATCCGCTGGAAATCCAGTGAGGGTGAGTGGCCGAGCATGAGAAACTACACTTACCTGTAGGGTAATCATTCAAATGCAACTAGAGGAACAACATGGAGTTAATAGAAACGTGTTAACATCTCCGTCGGTTACATCTGGTGAGGAATATTCTGTGTGTGGTCTTTGTGTGCGTTGCCATCCCCCATTTCATTCTGTTCTGTTTTTTCAGACCGGAATTTTCAATTTCAAATGAAATAAAGTCATTAATCATATTCTCGAACTCTCAACATTGGCAGTGTTTTTATTGTATTGTATTTCTTGTCTCCGCAACAATTCCTCCCACATGACCGGCCATTAAATCCCTCTCCCGCAGGAGACATGCTGCGTCCCCTGCTCCACGCTGAGCGCTACGTCGCTGGTTACGGGCTTCAGACCGGAGAGATTCACACGCTGATGTACAACAACCACCCCTACAGGGGCTTCCCTGTCCTGCTGATGGACTCCGTGCCTTGGTACCTCCGTCTCTACATCCACACCCTCACTGTCACCAGCAAGGGAAAGGACAACAAGCCCAGTGAGTCACTTCCAGCGGGATCTGTGTGCATAATTGTGGGTTTTGATTGTAATTAACAATAACAGTTTTTGTCTCTAATAACACATGAGTGAAAGCCACTCACAAGTGTAGTGGGCCGTCTTTTGGAGAGTAATGTGCTGCATTACATACGGTGCAGGCTGTGGCAAATGGCTGTGAATGAACATTAGAATAGTGTCCAATGGTGTCTTTCTTCCCCCGCCAGGCTACATCCACTACCAGCCCTCCAAGGACCGTGTGAGGCCCCATCTGCTGGAGATGCTGGTCCAGCTTCCTCCAAACTCGGTCACTGAGGTCACAGTGCAGTTTGAGAGGGCTCTGCTCAAGTGGACCGAATACACACCTGATCCCAACCACGGCTTCTATGTCGGGTATGCAGCACGCAGTCGTTCTCAGACTGATCTACAGAGGTCGCTGAAAGAAGAAGAAGAAGAAGCAGCACAGATGCTGCTTCGCATGTCCTCTCACCAGTTGTAGTTGTATGGTTTTGAGAAAAGAGTGCATGGTTTGTATTTATTGTTATTTTTCTGTAACCTTCAGGTCCTCTGTAATCAGCTCTCTGGTACCAAGCATTGTCGCCATGGATACAAACAGCACCCGGGAACAGCCTCTTTTCAGCAGCTTGTAAGTATATAGCTGAGGGTTGCTCCTCATTCACAAGTTCTTTGAGTTCCTAAAGAGGAACGCAGTAAGGTTGATGGCTCAAACTTCTTCTTCCAGTTTCCCCTGCAAGGAAGAGTCCAGCTACTTTATGCGCGTCTACACTGAGCCGCTGCTGGTTAACCTTCCAACTCCAGACTTCAGCATGCCTTATAATGTCATCTGCCTGACCTGCACCGTGGTGGCTGTGGGGTACGGCTCCCTGTACAACCTGCTGACCCGCAGCTTCCAGATAGAAGAGCCCAGCCCGGGATTGGCCAAGCGGCTGGCCAACATCATCCGCAGGATGAGGGGCGTGCCGCCACTCTGAAAAATATCTGCCAACTGGTTCTACTTGTGGAAAGGAAGTTGTCCCTTCTGGTAAAAACCACTGGCCAACATGGGATATTCAGGGAAGAACTGAGTCAAGCACTGGTATGAATGGTTTTTTTTTAAATGGTCTAATTGAGGAAGTTTTTGAACATAAATCTTTGGATGCTTTTCCTGCTCACTATGGACAAGAAAAAACAGACATTTTTCCACTTGGATGGAAAGCAAGAGCTTTGTTTTTGTTCTACAATGAACCCAAACTGTGCAGCTTGCTGCTGTGGTGATTGCATCGGAGGGTTTTGGTGTGATTGATTGATTGTTTCTTGGGATGTGTAAAGCCATTACTCTATTTCATCATAATTACGCCACAATGTGTTCCTACGAGTGCTAAATTGATGTTACTATCACATTAAGTATGAGACTAATGGTCTCATACAACATTGCAACGCCTCAGAGCTCAGATAGAAAAAACCCTTTGTTTTCTTACTGCGTTCTTGATCTGTTAATGTTCCTGCTAGTAACTATAAATAAATACATACAATAACTTTTTAAGTCAGTTACTTAGTTACTCAGAATGTGACATTTCCTTGAATTGCATGATGCTTATGACAGCATATATTTCCCTGTTCCAACTAACAATTAACTCCAAAGCCTTTTTTTTTTTTTTAATTGTTCTAAGAAATTGCATTATTCATCCGAAACGATTTGTTTCATAGGGAATGCAAAGCCCTCTTACCAAACATTTATTTTTTACTTGTTGGATGCATGCTTGAATGTTAAATATGATTGTCTGCAGATCTCTTCACAGGTAACGACGGCCTGTGGCTGGTTGGACTGTTAACCCATCTGTTCAATGCAGTTTCATAGCCAATGGATGTCTGTCAATGTGGAAAATATTTAACTATCATTAATTACTGCCATGCACTTGTTTGTTAAACTGTTTGTTTGTCTGCCTAAAAGACGTTATGCATCACTTGCTGTGGAAAAGTGTGCAGAGTGGGAATATTTGAGTGATGTTTGTGTGTGTGTGGCATAACTATGTTCTATTGCCTTTAAGATAAACCAACATCTTTCGGTCATTTAGTTCTAGTAAGTAGCAGTGCAAGAGGGACGTCGCTCCAAACTGCACCGGAGCTGAAGCTCTATTACTTCCCAGTGAGTGCCTACGTTTTTTGTGAAAAAAACTTAGCACCACTTCTGGCAAACTCAGAGAAAAACAAACACAGAAGTATCTGTGTTTGGCCGGTAAACACTACCCCTGCACGTCTGTCAACAATATGGAACAAAAAGAAAAGAAAAGCATTATTCCACGTATTTGGTCGCATCTTGTTCGCTGAAACGTTGTCATCTCACCGTGCAGGATATACAGATCACACAGGTCTCTGTGACATAGCTGGCTGTGTCACAGAGACCTGTTGAGTGTACGCCTTCACTTCATTTAGCACAAATGTTTGTGATAAGACAAGTACACACATGGTTGAAAAATCAATTTCAACAAATTCTCTCGGCCACCTCATTAAATAGTCGTTCCATTGATGGCATTTTTCAATTGTTTTTCTTACCAAGCATAAAAGCAACCTGTAGCCTGGATAAACAGCACTGTGAGAAATATCTTTCTTGAAACATGTTTATTGTTTGAAGCAACTGAAAAACAAGTACAGTGTGTTTTGGTACACTACCAATTGTTTCCAACCTGCAGGTTATTTTACAATTCTTGCTGTATTTTCTTTTTGTACATATTTGAAGTACAGGCACATAAAATGGCATCATAACAATATTGATGGAGAACAATTTACTGTCTCCCCCAAAGATTTCCACTTTATGAAAACCAGTGATTAAATATCATACCAAACTGTGCTGCCATGAATTAAAAAATTGTAAAGGAAGAAGTGACACTATGATACATTTCTGTTTTTGAAGCCTAGTCTCTGGGGGATTTCCTCAACGGATCGCGGCAGTCGAGGCCACAAGATGTTGTGCAGCACTTCTTCTCTTCTGGACACTGTCCATCTTGTTGGCACAAAAATGCACACAAGCTGATTCCCACGGGAGGGGGACAGAGACCCGGCTTCACTGACGAGACATTAAAAAAAAAGAATTAGCAAACAACCACCCCCAAAATAGTTATTTGTCCACTTTGATCAAATCCAACCTTTGTATGGCGCAGTGCACACATGTCCACATCCATTGGAGCAGCACTTTTGATCATCGGGACAGACACTGTCATTGGAGCATAATTCAACACACAGTCCGAAGAGCCGGTGACTGAGAGGACACACTCCTGGCTTGTTTGATGGCAAAAAGATTAATTCATATATACAAAGAGATCTTTGACTGAAATTGCACGAGCTGTCCATGCGTGAAAAAAAAAAAAAAGCAGGTGGGACACATTAACACAGTAACTGAGAGAAAGAGGCAGTGAAGCAGAAGAGATGTGATCATGACGGACAGATCAGCTGGACAACAGGACCGAAGGGGTCTTGTAGCCAAACACGATTGTGGAATGAAACACACAAGAGGAAAATAATAAACTTGCAGATTATACATTAAACAAAACATACGTACCTGGTACATAACCACCTTTTTGAGCAGTAGCTATGCCATGGTGCACAAAGGCACTGAGTGCTAAAATCACACAAACTGCGGGCCCGAGTTGCTCCATGTTACCTCTTTCTCATGAGAATGTATTCATGTTTGGAGAGATGCACTTATATACAAGCTGCACACTGAGGAGCCGCAGGACGCAGGGTCCCTGTGCCTGCATGGTTACCTTCCCATCTCTGCACTTTAGTGGTTTAGCTGAAATTTGACAGCAGGCCCCCTCCCCCAATTCACTTGCTTCTATACGACTTCTTCCAGGATCCAGTAAGTTTTTGGGAGGAAATTATGTTTGAATCATAGTTTGTCATTTTGAGAGTTTCCTTTGTTGCCAACTAGCAAACTGTGGTTTTGTTTTGCCCGTGTAATGTAATGTAATGTTAATAGATGAAAAAGAACATTATGAAGACTAATTCTGTCATAGAATTGTCTCTGGAAGAATTAAATGCTGCACACATTCATAATGAACATTTAAATATGGTCTGATTTTGAGAGTCAAGGAGGCAAATCAGGTTCAAAATAGAACAATTATCAGTGGCCTATAATGAGAAAAATATATGTAACCCTTCAAAAGATTTATATTATATATATATATATATATATATATATATATATATATATATATATATATATATATATATATATATATGTATGAGCGAATCTCACCCTGCACATCTGTCAACAATACAGAACAAAAAGAAAAGCATCATCCCACTTGTTTGGTCACATCTTGTTTACTGCAAAGTCACCGTGCAGGATATGCACAGCCAGAGAACACAGATCACACAGGTCTCTGTGACATGGCCGAATATGTCACAGAGACATGTTGAGTGTACGCCTTCACTTCATTTAGCACAAATGTTTGATAAGCCAAGTACACACATGATGAAAAAATCAATTTCAACAAATGCTCTCGGCCACCTCATTAAATAAACTTTCCATTGATTCCATTTTTCACTTTTTCCCACCAATCATAAACGCAACCTGTAGCCTGAAAAAACAGCACAGTGATAAATATGTGAAAAATATCTTTCTTGAAACGTGATTATTGTTTGAATTAACTGTTAACGAGTACAGCGTGTTTTCATCCACTTAGATTATACAATATCAATAGTGTAACAGAAATGCTGACCAAGACTGCATTGGCATCAGAGTAAGTCACGTGTTAAACTAATCAACAATCTGCAAATCTTTACACACTATGAATGGTGCAGTAGCAATTGTTTTCAACTTGCAGGTTATTTTATTATTCTTGCTGTATTTTCTTTTGTTGTACGTATGTAAAGTACAGGCACATAAAATGCCATCATAACAACATTGATGGAGAACAATTTACTGTCGCCGCCAAAGACTCCCCCAACTTCACTTCCTGCCTGGTCCTGTCATTGTCTGTGATTGTCTGATTACATTACATTACATTACATGTCATTTAGCGGACGCTTTTATCCAAAGCGACGTACAATAAGTGCATTCAACCGTAGGGTACAAACTCAGGAGAACAAGAAACAAGAAAGTGCAATTTCCTCACAAAAGCCAATTTACAATTTGCTATAGATGAGTGACTTTAGAAGTACAATTTAAGTGCTACAATTTGTTAGTCTTTAGTCGAGGTAGTGTCTGAAGAGGTGTGTCTTTAGTTTGCGGCGGAAGATGTGAAGGCTCTCTGCGGTTCTGGTGTCTTCAGAGAGCTCGTTCCACCATTTCGGCGCGAGGACAGCGAAGAGTCGAGATCTAGTCGAGTGTTTTGCTCTCAGTGAGGAAGGGACGAGTAGTTTTGCAGATGCAGAGCGGAGAGTGCGGGTTGGGATGTAGGGTTTGACCATGTCCTGGATGTAAGCTGGACCCGATCCATTCACAGCATGGTACGTGAGCACCAATGTTTTGAACTGGATGCGGGCGGCCACCGGTAGCCAGTGAAGAGAGCAGAGGAGTGGAGTAGTGTGGGAGAATTTCTGAAGGTTGAAGACCAGTCGAGCTGCTGCATTCTGAATGAGCTGCAGAGGTCGAATGGCAGTGGCAGGGAGACCAGCCAGGAGGGAGTTGCAGTAGTCCAGGCGAGAGATGACAAGAGCCTGAATCAGTACCTGCGCTGCCTTCTGAGTGAGAAGGGGACGTAATCTCCTGATGTTGTAGAGCGTGTATCTACAGGATCGCGTTGTCGCGGTGATGTTGGGATTCAGGGAGAGTTGGCTGTCGAGTGTGACGCCGAGGTTCTTAGCGGTCAAAGTGGGCGTTAGTGCGGAGTTCCCAAAGTTGACTGTCAGATCCTGGGTAAGCTAATCTTTTCCGGGAAAGAGAAGTAGTTCAGTCTTGTCGGGGTTGATTTTCAGATGGTGGGCGGACATCTACTGGATGATGTCAGTTAGACAGGCAGAGATCCGAGCCGCCACCTGGGTGTCCGAGTGAGGGAAGGAGAGAATTAGTTGGGTGTCATCGGCATAGCTGTGGTAAGAGAAGCCATGCGAGCGAATGACAGCGCCAAGAGAGTTAGTGTAAAGCGAAAACAGGAGGGGACCCAGCACGGAACCCTGAGGAACTCCAGTAGTAAGAGGACAAGGTTCCGACACAGAACCTCGCCAGGTTACCCGGTAGGTGCGGCCGTCGAGGTAGGACGAGAGAAGGGAGAGAGCAGAGCCTGTGACACCAAGTTCCTGAAGGGAGGAAATAAGGATCTGGTGGTTGACTGTGTCAAATGCAGCAGAGAGGTCCAGAAGGATGAGGACAGAGGAGAGAGAGGCGGCTCTAGCAGGGTGGAGTTGCTCTGACACAGCAAGGAGAGCAGTCTCTGTGGAGTGGCCCTGCCTTTGAAACCTGACTGGTGGGGGTCAAGGAGGTTGTTACTTTGTAGATATGAGGATAGTTGATTAAAGATAGCACGTTCAAGGGTTTTGGACAAAAAGGCGAAGAAGAGAGACCGGTCTGTAGTTGTTTTCTTCAGATGGGTTGAGGGTGGGTTTCTTCAGGAGAGGGTTGGCTCTTGTCTCTTCAGAGAATTGGGAAAACAGCCAGATAAACAGAGCGTTGTTGATAAGACAGATGAGGAACGGAAGAAGGTCAGGTGCGATAGATTGTAGAAGATGTGATGGAATGGGGTCAAGAGGGCAGGTGGTCGGACGGGCAGAGGTTACTAGGGTACGAATTTGGTTAGGAGAGAGGGCGGGGAAAGAGGAAAGTGAGGGCGAAAAAGGTGAGGTCGGTGGGACGCGAGAAGTAGGAGGTGGGTTTGAGAAGGAGGAGCGTATGTCAGCTATTTTCTTGGTGAAGTAATTGACAAAGTCTCCCAGAAGAAGGGTGGAGGGGGGAGGAGGGGTAGGGGGTTCGAGGAGATAGGAGAAGATGGAGAAGAGTTTTTTGGGGTTAGAGAATGAGGATTCGATTTTGGATTGGTAGAAAGAGCTTTTGGCAGCAGAGATAGAAGCAGAAAACGAGGAGAGGAGAGATTGAAATTCAAGAATTGATTGTTTCTACCTGTGTCCAATCACCTGCACCTCCCTAGTATATTTAAGCCGTGTGTGTCTCCTGTCACTTATCGCGTCATTGTCTATTGTCACGGATGTGCCCTGTCTTTTTCAGCAGATGGGCTGAAGTGCCCGTGACCGTCCTGGCTTGGCTGATGGCAAAAAGATTAATTTGTATATACAAAGAGATCTTTGACTGAAATTGCACTAGTTGTCCATGCTTGATTCCTTTGACTATAGTCAACGTTAAACATTGTGGATCTTACTAAAAGCAGGTGGGACACATTAACACAGTAACTGAGAGAAAGAGGCAGTGAAGCAGAAGAGATGTGATCATGACGGACAGATCAGCTGGACAACAGGACCGAAGGGGTCTTGTAACCAAACACGATTGTGGAATGAAACACACAAGAGGAAAATAATAAACTCGCAGATTATACATTAACCAAAACATACTTACCTGGTACATAACCACCTTTTTGAGCAGTAGCTATGCCATGGTGCACAAAGGCCCTGAGTGCTAAAATCACACAAACTGCGGGCCCGAATTGCTCCATGTTACTTCTTTCTCATGAGAATGTATTCATGTTTGGAGAGATGCACTTATACACAAGCTGCACACTGAGGAGCCGCAGGACGCAGGGTCCCTGTGCCTGCATAGTTACCTTCCCATCTCTGCACTTTAGTGGTTTAGCTGAAATTTGACAGCAGGCCCCCTTCCAATAATCACTTGCTTCTATACGACTTCTTCCAGGATCCAGTACGTTTTGTCTCAGAGCGTCATATAAAAGTTGCATTTCACCTCCCTGCCTGAGGGGGGTGCTGTTATATATTTGCCTTGCTCTGTGGTGGTGTATAAGAAGGATCCTGTGGGAGCCAGCCGGGCCTTGTTTCCTGTCTCTCCAGCTTCCAACCGGGCCATGCTGCATCGCACAGATCTTTGGGTGGTGGGGTTAGCAAGGGTGTTGTCAGTGGTAGGGGAGAAGCCCCTTTTGCTTGACCATGTTTTCTCTTGTTTTTGGATAGGGAGACAGGTAAGATACTTGTACTTTTGATTGTTCCTTTGTGTGGTCTAAGGAAGGTAGGTGACCTGCACAGATTGTTTTGTTTGTTGTTTTGGGCCATGCTCACTCTGAAGGGAGCTCAGCAAGCCCATCAAACAGCACTCATACCGGATTAATCCAGCAAAGCGGCCTGCAATGCAGAAAGAGCTTGAGTATCTCCTGGAGAACGGATTTGTGAATACCAAGCTCCGTGGAGTTCCCCTTCCCTTCTGGTCACAATATCTGACCAAACGCCTCATTTTTGTAACGCAAGGTAAATGCAGTTACAACGCCAGATTCGTTTCCCCTTCCCTGTATGGATGATTGCGTGGATTGAGTTGGGTCAGCCAAGTTTGTCACTAAGCTGGACCTCCCCAAGGGCTACTGGCAGGTGCCCCTTTCCCAACGTGCGGCAGAGGTCTCAGCATTTGTAACCCTTGACCATTTTCTGCAGTACACCGTCATGCCCTTTGGATTAAGAAATGCTCCAGCCACTTTTCAGAGGTTGATGAGTAGGGTTCTTTGTGGAGTTAAGAATTGTGAGGCGTACCTAGTAGATATTGTATGTTATTCGTCCACGTGGGCTGAGCATCTGGATACCTTACGGGACGC